CTGGGCTCAGCTTAGGAATCCAGGCCTTTTGTTTTTCCCTTCAAGACACAAGAAGGGAAAAAAAAACAACACACACACACCCCAAAAACAACACAACAAAACCCAAACCGCGCCAGTAACTGTAACGGTAATTACAAGGAGGTTTTAACACATGTCTCAATTTGCATTAATTAAATCGAGGGGGAAGCTTCGATGGAGTAAATGAGGGTGGTGTGGGCTTTTTTTTTTTTTTAGCAGCAGCAGCAGCAGCAGCAAACGCTGCAGCAGGAGCTGGTGACTCCACTTTGCTGCCTGCATGTTGGGTGGGATGGGGAGGGATCTGCCGGCTGGAAGGGGCTTCCCAGGAGGGATGGAGCTGCAGGCAGGACGGAGCTGGGGGTGGGGAGGCTGAGAAGAAGAATCTCAGCTCGAAATTACCAAGAGCTCCCAGACGGGGCTTTTCAGAGCTCGGAGAGGGGGGAAAAGCTCTGCAGCTGCAGGCGGTGGGAGAGAGGAGGTTGCTGTGTGGAGATAAGAGGAATGTGGCCATTCCCAGCCCTGGGCACGCTGCAAGCCCAGCTGTGAGGGGAATATCAATGGGCAGCCGTTTTTATTTATTTATTTATGTGATTGTTTATTTATTTATTTATTTAGAAAGCCACCAGTTGGAATATGAAATCAGCTTGGACACATTGCAACACTTGGTTGGAGGGGAACCCTTTCCAGGACACAAACCTCCAGGGCAGGGCTGGTGGATTCCCCAGGTGCCAACCCCCCCCCCAGGTAAGGAAGTCAAGGTTTCCTTCCCATGCCCTGGATAAAACACAGGGGATTTGTGGCTCTGAAACCTTTCTCTCCCACCCTCTTGGGCAAAGCAACCCAAGGAAGCTGGGATCCAGGGACAACACCTTCCCTCCTCCCTGCTCCAGCAGGGGATTCGTGCTGCATCTTTTGTGCACGGCCTCAAGTCTGGAGCTTGTAATGGGCTTTGGGTAGAAAGTGCTGCTTGGAAGGGGAATCTGACTGAAGAGGTGGCTCCAGGCTGGATTTTAAAGCAGCAGAGAGTCAGTGAAGGAGAAAAATGCTCAGAGAGAAAAATGCTCCTACCTATAGCTGTACATCCCACCAAGAGCAAAGAGAGGCCGATGGAGCAGAGGAAAGAGGGTGTCTGCCCTGTCTGAGTGTCCCCAGGGCTTTTTTGAACTCTCTTCTGGTGGGATTTTGCCCCCAGAGCCACAAAGACAATTGGAAACATGGTCCTGGGCACAGAGGCTGGCTCTGGAGTGGGGAGGAAAGGGATGCAGGGCCAGGCAGGACATCTGCCCACTCCCCTGCTCCCCCAGCCCCACGGGCATGGGAATAAGCAGCTTTCTGTGAACCAAAGGGTTAAGAATGTCAGAGTCACCCTCTGAGCACGGTGGTTTCTGCCACCCCTTCCTGAAAGCCTTTACATAAGAGCCTTGCAGAATTTATAGCCTGCCTCAGCTGTGCTGTGGACCTGGCTGCTCCCCTGGAGCTGGCAGCACAGATCCCTGGCTGCTCTAATTTGAGGAGGAAAATGGGATTTGATTTCTGCACCAACCACTGTCTCTCTCTCTGTGAACACAGGACCTGACGGGCTCTGTCTGTGCCCTCCCTGGCTCACCCATCTCACACATTCACCTTGAATGTCCCCACACCCACCCTCAGCATCTCAGCAGAGCAGTCCTGAGGCTCCCTGGGTTGTCCCACCCCAGCCAGCTCCTGGGGCTAGAAATGGTGGTTTAGGTGTAAAACAATTAAAAAAAAAAATACACCTAGAAGCCTCAAAAGCACCAGAGCCTTGTGGTTCTGTTCACATCAGCCCTTTGTGTCACTGGAGAGTGCAGGAGACACTAAAAGATGTCCTCTCTGCTGCTGCACCTTCCCCCGAGGCCATCCCAGAGCTTCCTTAACCCCAGGATTCACCCTCAGCTGGAGGGGTCAGAGGCCACCAGTGAGGAGAGGACGTGGCCATCATGGTGACACAAACAACTCAGCATGAGATGCTGCTTTTCCGTTCCCCTTTCTTCCCCTGGGAGAAGGGCTTTGCTGGCACCCGTGTCACCTGCTGCCACTTGCTGAGGAACAGCACGTGCCACCCAAACCCCCCCAAGGGCAGGAGCTGAAGCCAAGCCAGGGCTGCCACTCCTGTCCCCCAGCAGGACCATGGCTCCGGTGGTAGAAGGGACAATGTGGGAGCAGATGGTGTGGCAGGAGCCTGGACGTTCCCAGCAGCTGCTGAGCTGGCGTGTCCAGAATTGCGGCCGCCTCTCCCACTGCAGTGCCAGCCAGGAGGGTCTCCAGTGGATAAATCCAGGCAGTTCCACCAGCTTCAGCCCTTCCTCGAGATGGCTGAGGATTGGAGCCCCCTTAAAAAGCAGCTCCAGCTCTGCCCCCCCGGTTGTTATCCAGGAATGGGCTGTTGGTGCTTCCAAAGCCCTTCATTCCCAAGCCAGCCTGTTCCTGTGGGGGCTGCGGGCAGCACTGCTGCTCTTCCTGCTGCAGAACCAGGCTGGGATGTTCTCCTGCTGTTCCTGGGGCTGATCCCAGTCCCCATTTCACATCCCTGCACTGCTGGGCTGCTCGGAGACACTGACCAGCCAGTCCCTTGATGAAAACCACCATCTTTCTTTTTTCTCCCCCCAGACTTTAGGCGTGGGGTCACCAACAGCTTTCCAGGATGATGAGGTTTTTCATTCCCACTGTGCTCGGAGCCCAGATGCTGCACCTCTTTGCACTGGTTCTTTTGGCCATGAACAACCCCCAGCCCACAGCAAATGACCCCGCCCCTGCCAGATGTGCCCCAGCTGCAGCAGATCCAGCCAGGCCCAGCGAGGGGTTGATGCCCACCTACCCCCTGGGTGCAGGAAGGGTGTCACCCAGGGCCCAAGTGACAGCCAACTCAGACCTTGGTCCCCAGGGATTTTATTCCCTTAGCCCCACAGCCCCCACAACAGGCAGGATGGGCTCTCCTGGCACTGTCACTGAGCATCCCAGACATCCTGCACTGGTGGACCTGCTATGATTCTGCTCTCCCCAGGGGTCATCCTGCCCTCCTTGGCTCATTTCAGCCCAGAAGCAGTGGCATTCCCAGTATCCATCTCCCACCAGTGGGCTCGGAGCAGGCTACAGGTTGGAGCGGCAGAACGGTGCTTCCGGAACAACCGAGTCTCCGATGCCTTCCAGGAGGTTGTCCCATTGATTGAACTCCTCTTCCAGGTCTGCTTGGAGCAGAGATGGTGACAGGGTTACTACAGTGACGATCTGCCCAGTTCCAGGCATAAAGAAGGAGCAGCCACCAGACCCCTTTGCTTTGTGCAAGGGGATGAGAAGCACCAAACCCAAGCCCCTCCTCACAAGCAGGGAAGCTCTTGTGCCCCCCCAGCCCCTGGCCAGTCACAGAATCATGGGATGGTTTGGGTTGGAAGGAACTTAAAGATCCTCCAGTCCCACCCCCTGCATGGGCAGGGACACCTCCCACCAGCCCAGGCTGCTCCAAGCCCCATCCAACCTGCCCTTCAACACTGCCAGGGATGGGGCAGCCACAGCTTCCCTGGGCAACCTGGGCCAGGCTCTCCCCACCCTCAGAGCCAAAGAATTTCCTCCCAGTGTCTAAGGTGCCAAGGTGCCCTCCCCCCCGGGCCATACGGAGGTGCCGCTGCAGGAAGGCCAGAGCCGCCCGGCTGGTGATGTCCAGAGCCTTGTGGGGGTCAAGGGTTCCTCTTGCTCTGAAGACACGGCTGATGAGCTTCCCAGTGAGAAAGGTGAAGTCTGTCTGGCTTTGATGAACCGACCCCCTGGGACAGGGAAGGAATCTTCTTCAGGTGGGAGCTGGGGACAGGTCCTCCTGCTGGGACACAGCTCGAAGGTGCTCCCAGGAGGGTCCTGATGGGTGGGTGCCCTCTGCCCCTGACTCACAGGATGGTTATAATCTTCGTCTGGCTGTTTCTGGAGCTCAGCCTCTTCATTTTGGCAACACTTTCTGGCGTCTGGAATTCCTCCGTGTTGATGAAAAGCACGGGCTTGGGCACTTCTGGGTACAGTGAATTCTCCAGGGGGAACATCCAGGCATCGAGAGCCACCGCGCAGCTGCAGCAGGATGGACACCCAGTGCTGCTGCCCATGCCTCCCTTCCCATTGGGATGAGCCACACATCCCTGGAGCTTCCCATGGCTCCTGGTCCCTGCTGTGGCTTACCTGAAGCTGGGCTCTTTCACCAAGGCCAGCACGGCTGTCACCCCCCCAAAGGAATGGCCCATGACAGCAACTTTGCTCAGATCAACACTGTCCTGCAAAAAGGAGAAGGCTGAGGAGCCTGTGCCCAAACCTTGCTGCAGACATTCCCTAATTAGGGAAGGAAAAGCCAAGGGAAGAGGCCCCACTGCTCTACCCTCTGCAAGGGGCACCTGTTGATCACCATGGGTGCCATGGGATCTGGCTTCTCCAGGACAGGAGAGCACCAAGAAGCCAAGAGCTGCAGATCTGCACAGACCCTGCTTGTCCCAGGAGGACAAACCTCACACCACAAGGACTGATCCTGCCAGCAAAAGGGCACCCAGACCCCCCCAAGCAACCCAACAATCCCCTGGGCTGGTCCTTCAGCACAGACACACCCAGGTACCTTCAGCACGGAGAGCTCAAAGTCCTGGTGAAGGACGTTGGGGACAGATTTACCACTGCTGATGTCCTGGAAGAGCCGGAGCGCTCGCACACATTCCTCAGCTCTCTGATGCACCTGGGAGCAAGAGTTCCCCCTTCCCCAGTTAACCCAGCTTCTCCACCCCACAAGTTTGTGGCCAGATTCTTCCCCCAGTACCCCCCCATTCTCATCCCTCTAAAACCATAGTGCTCAGGCACAACCTTTCTCTCTGTTTGTGATTGATTTCTCCTTAATCCTCAACGTTTATGTTCATGGGTTCATCTCAAGAGGAAAACTGTTCCCTCGTTTGTGCAAGGTAGGACAGAGCAGACACAAAAATAAGAGGCTGGGAGGTGATTCACAACTGCCAAAAGCACCTCCAACCACTAAGTTTCCTAGAGAGTTTTTCTCCAGCAAATCTCAACTGGATGTTGTCCTTTTAAATGAGGCAGAAATGAGCAGGAAGGAAGCTGGCTCAGCAGGAAACCTCCCTGCTCCCCAACAAGCAGCTGTTGGGGATAATCCCAGAGAAACAAAAATCAGAGTGTGAACAAACCCAGCAGTTGGTCTGGAGCCTGGGCTGGGCAGAAAGTCTGTTCTGGGTGACATTCAAGTACCCAGAGATGTAGCAGAGCCCAGCCTGGCTCCTGCCAGGGCCAGCTGGAGCTGGACAAACCCCATGAAAACAGAGATAAACAGGCTGAACAGATTTTTCTCAGCTTGCAAGGAGAAAGCTCAGCCCCAGCAGTACAGGTTTGGGAAGGCCAGGAGATGAAGACCCCAGGGATGGAGGGGCCAGCTCAGCTTGCAGGAGGGATTTCACACCTCCTAGGCTTGCCCACCCTTAACCCCCTCCACCCTGGTACCTGCTTTTTTCGGAAGTAAAACTCCTTCTGTCCCTGGGGCACCTGCTGGTAGGGGATCCACTCCTCTCTCCCAGCCTCTGCCGTGCAGAAATACGTCGCGGAGGCAGAGTGGTCCCTGCAGAGGCAGGAGGGCAGGCAGCCACGTCACAGGGGGCACCAGCAGCTCCCCAGGGTGCAGAGCCCTGCCAGCCCCATCCTGACTGCCCGATTCGTGGGGGGGGAACCAGGACACCCACCTGTGCTCCAGCGCTGCCACCACGAAGCCCCAGGACACCAGCTCCGAGCAGATTGAGGAGTAGAGGGTCCTGCCCAGGGGGAGCGGGGTCAGGGCTGTGCTGCCAGCACGAGGCAGGCTCCCCCACCAGGGGAGCACGGTGGGGTCAGGACACCCGTGTCCCCATCCTGGCTCTGGCCCTGAGCAGGGGCTCAGCACGCCCTGTCCCACTTGGGGCTCATCCTACCGAAAGGCTCCCAGGCCATGGGAGAAGATGATCAGTGGGTACCCGCTGCTGCAGGGCTTGAAAGGCCCATTCCAGCTCACTGGCACTCGGCAGGAGCCTGCAGGGAAGAGAAACCCCCCCCCCGGGGACATGGGGGACTGCGTGGCGGCTGCGCCTGCCACAGGGGCGGTCCCTGCTTGGCTCCATCCCTGCCTGTAGCACCCTGAGCACAGGGGGATGGGCTTGGCAGCCTCAAACACTAAAGGAGTGGGTCCCTAAAGAATGGGGGAGCACCCAGGAAGGGGGATGGGGTGCCCCCCACTCCCTTACCGATGGCGATGCTGAGCAGGGGCGCACACCAGTGCCGGCTGTGGTGGGTGACATCGGCCAGCCCACAGCAGTACTGGTAACGTGGGATCCAGAGAGGCTGCTCAGCCCCTGCCCGGGGCAGGCAGGGGTAGAAGAGCCGGAGGAACAGCCCCTGGGGGAGAGAGGGGAAAGGGGGACGTGGTGGGGACAGCACAGAGCACAGTGGCCATGTCCTCAGAGAGCTCAGCCCTTGCAGAACCCGGCTGGGCATGGGAGCTTGTCCTTCTGCCTGTCCCCATGGAATCATGGAATCACAGAAGGGACCTTTAAACAGGGACATCTTCAACTTGATTATGGTGTTCAGAGCCCTGTCCAACCTGGCCTTGAATGTGGGGCATCTACCACCTCTCTGGACAACCTGGGCCAGTGTTTCACCACCCTCATATCTGATCCAAGTCTCCCCTCTTTCAGCTTAAAACCGTCACCCCTTGTCCTGCCACCGACAGGTCCTGCTAAAAAGTTTGTCTCCATCTTTCTCATCGGCCCCTGTGAAGTCTCACCAGGCCACCATAGGGTCCCCCCATCACTGTCCCCATCCATACCTGCTGCGTGTGGCCCACCATGACATCTGTGCAGCCCACCTGGTGAGGTCCCTTCCCCTGGGGCAGCGCCAGTGACTGTGTCCCCCCCATGCTGCCACAGCTGAGCCTACGTGGAGACACGGGGTCAGTGACCGTGTCCCTGCCTGGGGGACCCCCGTGCTTTCTCTGCTGGATCAGGATGGTGGGGCTGAGGGCTGGTGGGTGCTCGACAGGGCAGGTGGGGGCCCCATGGCCACCCCTGCTGCAGGGTGGGTGTCCCCATCACCCTCCTCCCCTGCACCCCGGGGTGCTGAGGGCTGGGAGAGGCAGCTGGGCCAGGCAGGGGGGAGCCCAGGGGACATGGGAGCCAGGGGCTGACATGGCCATTGAGGACATGATGGGACAGAGCCCCGAACCCCCCCAGGGCAGGACTATAGCTGCCCCCGGGGCTGGGGAACCACAACTCCCAGCATGGCCCTGGACTAGGGACTACCCCTCCCAGTAAGCGCTGGATCCTGGGACTACACCTCCCAGTAAGCGCTGGATCCTGGGACTACACTTCCCAGTAATCCCAGCTGAACTACACTTCCCAGTAACCCCCACTTGAACTGCTGATCCCAGTCCTTCCCAGGGACGGTTCCCAAAGCCCTTCCCGCTGCCCCCAGTGCTCCCCCCATATCCCCCAGTGACCCTCGCTGCTCCGACTGCTCCCCAAGAGTTCCTGGTTCCCCCCCAGCCCAAGCGCCCCCCTCCAGCTTCC